CTGCCCCAGATAGTGCGCCCGCGCGCGCGGGCCCCAAGGGCCACCTAAGGACGCGCTCCCTCACTGGGGAGCCATGCGGGCCTCCCGCCCGCCAGTGCCAAAGCTCCCGTCCGAGGCGGAAGGAAGTGGTATTTATTGTTCTTCGCGAGACCGCGTCGCCTCCGGCCCGGCCGGCAATCGCAGTGTAGACGACTCGAGTGAGCCCCGCCTGCGGGCGGTGTAGATACTTGTAGATATGTGTAGATACTGTAGATACTGCACCGGCGCCGATTTCATAAACGGTTTCGCCTTTTTTTTTTTTCAGTGTGGCTATTCATTTGCATCCAATTTCAATCGGGCATCTTTGGGGGAGAGGGGTTTAGTTTTCCCAGCCGCAGTCCTTGGTGGGGGCGTGGAGCAGGGGTCTCCTCCGCTCTAACCAGCCCTCTCCTCCCGTTGGCGTCTCTGCCTCTCCCGCAGCGCCCCGGGGTCCTCCACAGGCTGCCTGCCCGGTTTCCTCAGGGCAGGCTCTGGCTTTCACTTAAGTTCTCCACACCTGCAGCTGATGTTGCAGGATTTGGGCCTGAGCGGTGACCTGTTGCAGAACTAGACCTATGAGTTTTTCCGTGGAAGCTGGGAATGATGGTCCGGACAGGACACTGTCCATCCGGCCTCGGATGGCATGTGGGAAGACAAAAACAGGCTTGCTCTTCCAGCATTGCCCTGGTTTGGCACCAGCCCAGAGTTGCGTTTCCCCCTGTTTATTGACTTTATTCACTGAATGTCCCCACAGAGTGACCGGGGTGGGGTAGGGGGAGTGGGCGTACAATGACAGTGGTCGTGAGTCATCTTGAAACTCCCGTGTGAAGCAATTTTCCCCAAGCCAGGTGGCTGGGTGACCTGTCTCCATTAACTCAACACCATCGAAGTAGCCAAAGGAACCCTTTGATCCCTCTCTTCCTGCGCAGGAAGGGCCAAGCGAAGGCCAGCCAGAGTCAAGGCTGGCTTATGCCTCAAACAAATGGGAAATGCCAGGTTCTATCCCTGGCCTTCTGTTTCAGTGTATTCGTGGTTCCACTTGTTGCCAGTAGAGACACCCCTTTCCCGGGCACTTCCAGATGTTAACCCCAAGTCCAACTCTGTTTCATGTCTGACCTGCCCCAGGTTCGGTGGCCTGAGCCCCTTCCCTCCAGAGCATGAAGACTTCTGCAGCATCTCTCCATATGACCAGAGGAGACATAGCTGTGGGGCACTCTCCTGAGGGCAGCAATGGACACTCATTCCCAAGTCCTGCCCCTACCCTACCTTCAAATGCAAGTTTCCTTCTGCAAGTGACAGTGGGCTCTGCTCAAGGCCACCTGTTCCACACTGGCCTCATACTTTTGTCCCTGGGAAACCAGAGACTCCATGTCTACTGGAGTCCTGCAGAGGGCAATGGTCAGCTTCAGGCAGCGCCTCTCCCCCTGGAATGCAGCCATCTCTGTGGCATGCAGGAGATATGGGGAAGAGCTAGTTCATTAGAGACCTCCACTTTGGTGTTGTTTAAAGCTGAAGTGCACCATCCCAGCACCTGGCTTTTGTAAATAGGGGCGGACACATCACAGAGCAGAGAGCCTAATGGTGCAACTCACTGGCCTTGAAAATATCCCTGCTGCCACAGAGCTGGCTCACTCACGAGGGGAACTGGGTCACGGCCTCATGAAACTCGGGTCCTCACTGATGCGATTCCTAGTGTGGACCAGAGACAGCAGAGAAGGATGCTCTTTGCATCCTGACCCTCAAAGACCAAGGGCTTCTCCCTCTTCACCAGGGATGAACCTGAGAACACCTTGTAAACAGGAGGTGGTGCAGGGGCACACTGCTGTCATGTTCTCCTTCCTCCATTATAGTGTGTGCTGTGGCACTGCCCTGGCCACTGATCCCATGGAGCTGAACTCCCTATGGGCAGCTGCCTCTGAACAGCCTTTGACTGCCTTATGGGAGGTGGGTTTCCGGAAGTTCCATGAACTGGTTTTTTGTTTGTTTGCTTGAAGATCGTGTGTGTGTGTGTGTGTGTGTGTGTGTGTACATATATATGTCTATGTATGTGTGTGTGTGTATGTATGTAGAGAGGGGTTCACTATGTAGACCTGGCTGTTCCAGAATTCACAATGTATATCAGACTGGCCTCAAACTCACAGATCCACCTGCCTCTGCTTCATGAGGGCTAGGATTAATAATGGCTTGCTCCACCATACTCTGCCCTGTTTTCTGAATGTGTACATCCCCAGTTCAGACTTTGCATTCCTGATATGATGGTATTTGGAGGTAGAGCCTTTAGAATGTGACTCGGGGTGGGGGTGAGAGGGAGGGGGTAGAGCTCCCCTGAGAACAATTAGTACTCATTTAAAAGATGGCACAGCTGCTGTAGAGATGAGATGGCTCAATGGTTAAAAACACTGACTGCTCTTGCAGAGGACTGGAGTTCAGTTCTCAGCACCCCATCGTGGCTCATGGTGGTTCATAGCCACTATAACTCATTTCAGGAGCTCTGGCAGGTGCCCTCTTCCAGCCTCCACAGGCACTACACACACATGGTGCATAGGCAAAACACCCATACACATAAAACAAAAACACATTTTAAAAAAGATTTTATTTATTTATTATGTATACAACATTCTGCTTCCATTTTTATCTGCACATCAGAAGAGGGCACCAGATCTCATAATGGATGGTTATGAGCCACCATGTGGTTGCTGGGAATTGAACTCAGGACCTCTGGAAGAGCAGTCGGTGCTCTTAACCTCTGAGCCATCTCTCCAGCCCCCTAAACACATTTTTAACAGGGGCCCCTGAGTCTTCTGCCACAGGAAGACTCAGGAATCCAGACAGCTGCAGCCCTTACAGGAGTAGACCACCCTACTCCCTGACCTTCATTCCAGTCTGGGAACTAAGAGAAATGAGCACACCTTTAATCCCAGCTCACAGGAGACAGACTGGTGGTTCTTTGTGAATTCCAGGTCTAGCCTGATCTACACAGAGAGTTCTAGGACAGTCAAAGCTACAAAGACCTTCCCTTCAAAAGGAGAAATGTCTCCTGATCTTAGCCCATGGACTTTTATTAGTTATAGTTGCCTTGGATGACTGAGCCACTGTCCTTTTCTTTCACCTTAGCTTCCTTTGCAGCCATGCTGCTGGCCCTGCCCTGCTGTGCTGTCTGTGTGGGGACAGATGTTTTATTTTGCCTGCATCTCCTTCATTACCCATACCCTAATCGTTGAGCTTTCCCTGTGTTGTTCCCAGGGATCCCTAGATGGAACAGATAGTCTAGGCTCCTATTCATGCCTCAGAATTCTTCGGAAATATAATAAACACCCAACTGGAGAACTAGACTGACTAGGGGAGGATGAGACAATGTCCAGAGCCACAGGCAGACTGTTAGGGAGCGACTCTTGGGCTATGGTGCCTTTGTGTAAATTAAAGTGGGGGAGCTCCATATTGCCTTGTATCTTCCCTCCAGGGAAACATTTGGGATGCAGAGGACAAGGAGAAACTGCTGAGGGTGCCTAGAGTAGCGCTGACAGGAAGACTCTGGCTGGTCTGCAAATCCAGCCCTCAGCCCCAGCTGGGGAATCGGATTCATGTGAAGACAGTGTGGAGGATAAGACACCCAGCTTCAGGTGAACTACAGATCAAAGTGGCAGTCAGAGGGAGCAGGGCCAGCACGGCATTGGCATTCACTGAGGGATGACCAAGGAGGCTTGATGGCAAGACACACGTGCTTGGACTGGGCTGTGTGGCTCAGTTTTCCCTTTGTGCCCTGGTGGTGCTGGGTCTATGTAAATGAGGGGATTCATGTGAACTGTGGGCACTGGGGTGCTCATTTTTTGTTCCCTGGTCTGTGTGTGTTTCTTGGGGTCCCAGCTGAGCTTGGCCGATGAGTCTGCTCATCCCCAGCCCTCCTCCTGCCTCTCCCTAGCCACTTTCACATCCTGCTGTGGATCTAGCCCAGAGCAAGTAGAGGCTGGGCCCCTGGCCCCACAGGGCTGATGGGACCTTCCTCCTGGCAGTGGGTCTTACGTTCTTGGCGTTTCCCTAACCACACATCAAGCCTTTGATTCAGTTTCCTTTCCTTCTTGTTGTATTACTTCAAACCAGATGGGCTCCTCACATGATGTTTAGCTCACACAGAGCAAATTAAGCTGTC